CTCTCTCCCTCCTTTTGTAAATAATAAGGTTACATAAGCTACCCTCCAATCCATAGGAACTGTTCCAGTCTTATAGAATCTTTATAGATGACCACTGGCGGAAGGTACCAGGTGGATTGGAGTGGTTGGTGGGGAGTGTGGCGTGAACTAAGGAGTGGTGAAGGGAATGGCCCTTACAGAAGCTAGAGAGGGGTGGGGATTGGAAGATGTTCTGGGTGGTTGGGGTCTAATGGGAGTTGGCAGAAGTGCTTGAGGATGATATGTTGGATGCGGAGGCTGGTGGGGTGGAAAGTGAGGACAAGGGGAGCCCTATCTTTATTATGTTTGGGGAGGGGGTTGGTTAAGAGCTGTGGAGCAGGGAATGGAGGAGGTGCGGTGGAAGGCTGTCTGGATGACGGGGGGAGAAAAGAGCGTTGTTTGAAAAAAGTGGACATTCGGGATGCTTCCCCGTAACCATAAAAGATGCAACACCTGCCCACACACCACCTCCCTGACTTCCATCCAGGGCCCTAAACAGCCCTTCCCAGTGAGACAGAGCTTCACCTGCAACTCCTCCAACCTAGTCTATTACATCCGGTGCTCCCAATGTGGTCTTCTCTACATTGGTGAGACCAAACGTAGACTAGGTAACCGTTTTGCCGAGCATCTCCGCCTGGCCCATAATGGCCAACCTAACCTCCCGGTCACTGCCCATTTCAACTCCCTGCCACACTCCCCCTCGAGATGTCTGTCTTTGGCCTCCTTCAGTATTACACTGACTTGGAACGCAAATTTGAAGAACAACACCTTATCTTCCGCCTAGGCACCCTGCAGCCTGGAGGACTCAACACTGAGTTCTCCGATTTAAAATAACCTTCTCATCCATCCCCCGGCTTCCTTTCCAGCCCCATCTCCTCCCTTCCATTCCACTCTCTGACCCTCCTTTCCAGCCACCAACCAGATTAATCCCTCTCCACCTATCACCACCAGTCTCCACCTATCGCCACCATTCTGCATTCTGCCTCCACACACACACCCCCACCCCCAACCCCACCCCAGCTTCCTATTTGTCTACCTTCATTATAACTTATCCGGTTTTAAGTGTAAGGGGCCTAGCTAATCTGATCTGTTCACAAATCTGCAAAAGCTTTTACAATTAATCTTTATGTTTACTGCAAGCTTACTGACATACTCTATTTTCCCTCTCTTAATCAGTCCCTTTGTTCTGTTTTGCTGAAATCTAAAAAGCTCCCCAATCCTTAGGTCTGCTGCTTTTCTCAGCCAATTTGTATAACGTTCCCTTGGATCTAATAACAATCCCTAATTTTCCTCATTAGTTATGTTCGGGCTACTTGTCCAATTTTAGTTTTATGCTCCACAGGAATGAACAATTTTTGCTGATTCCCCTGTGCACTCTTTAAATGTTTGCTATTATCTCCCCTTTAAGTAATGTCCCTCAATTTATCATAGCCAGCTCGGAGCTCATTCCATCGTAGTTTCCTTTATTTAGGTTCAGGATCCTAATCTCAAAATCAATCACGTCACTGTCCATCTTAATGAAGAATTCCATCATATTATGGTACAGGCTAGATTACCAATTATTTCTTTCTTATTACGCAATACCCAGTCCACGATGGCCTGTTCTCTAGTTGATTCCTCAAAATATTGTTCCTGAAAACCATTTCATACACACTCTAGGAATTCCTCCTTCAGCATTGTTAGTGATCTGACCAGTACCTGACTGTATGCCACACTTCCTAAATAACAATGCTGACATTTCTTAATTGGCTGTAATGCACTTTGGTTTGTCCTAATGTTATGAACCGTGCCACACAAGTGCATTTTTTTTTTTTTTCCTTTCTTACGAACTCAAACTTTAGTATTGCATTTATTATTGGTGAATTAGTCCATCAATGTTCCTGTCTGCAACTGCTGTTGCTGCCGTAAAGAATTTGTTGCTTTTAATTCAGTTACTGCAGCAAATGTAAGATATGCGTTGGCTGGCAAGTAGGAAATTGTCATTAGAGAAGTTGAAGAAAACTGGTAACTGTCCTCAGACAGCAGTGCTTATGTTTCACTCAGATAGTAAGAACTGCCGATGCTGGAGTCAGAGATAATACAGTGTACAGCTGGAGGAACACAGCAGGTCAGGCAGCATCAGATGAGCAGGAAAGTGCTTATGTTTGCTCTGTTTTTCAGATTTGCTCGCAAAATTGCCTCTTTAGGTCAAAAATGGGGAGTGCTGGAGAAACTCAGCAGGTCTGGCAGCATCTGTGGACAGAAAAACAGAGTTAAACTTTCAAGTCCAATGTGACTCCTCTTCTGTTTATATCGGACTCAAAACATTAACTCTGGTTTTCTGTCCACAGTTGCTGCCAGACTTACTGAGTTTCTCCAGCATTTTCTGCATTTGTGTCAGATTTCCAGCATCTGCACTGTTGCTTTTATTTGCCTCTGTAAGTTATATTGCCTGGATCTTTAATTTAAGGTGCTTGAATTAAAGCTAGCTTGCTGTAAAGCAGCCCTTGCTGTGAGACGATTGAAAATCTAGAAATGACCTCAAATTTTCTCTCCCATCATTTTTCTGATAGCAACTAACTTGGGAAGGGATTGTTTAAGATAAAGAATATAACAGGGAGCATAAACTCCAGCATAAACTGCTCAATGTTAAAGTTCTGTACGGGAAAGTGTGCATTTTTTAATGTTTGTTTTGAGAATCAGTAAAACATCTTTCTGTAACTGATTTACTCAGTGCTGGGTGTTCATAAATGCTTGCTTTGTAATCAATTTGGATTTTGTTGACCACCATCAATACAGTTACCCAAAATATAAATACACAAAAGAAGTCCCTCCCAGTGTGGTCACACATGCATCGCTTTCTCTTTTCCGAGGAGCTATCTTTTATACAGTTTTGGATGTGTTTTATGATGCAGCTCTGAAATCTAGCACTTCGAACATTAAGTGAAGCATCAGGGCAATAAAATACAATTGATATTAATAGAAAATGAAGACCTAGTTTCAACTGAGACAAAATATATTTCTAAATCAAGTTAGGACAAATCTGCACACTATATTTACTTGCATTTCAGATGCAAAGTTTAAATATGTTGTTTAAACAATCATTTTCATTTCTGTAGTACTGTTATTATTTTATACTGTGAGAGGCTTAAATCACTGGAGTTGCAAGTGTGTGCAAATTATGAGCTCGTTTAAAAAAACAAGTTCGTTGCCCTTTTTTAGAGGTGCCTTTTAATATGATTTTATGTCATACAAGTAACATATTGTAATATGTTCAATTCTTCTATTTACAATATTTACAACACCCTCCTTTTCTCACAGTTGAGACTTTCTTGGTGAAGACTGTCCATCTCCATGTGCCCCTTTATTTCTGCCATTTTGGAAATGTAGTATTTATTACTCTTGGTACTGTTTAGTTATTGCCCAAAGAACGCCTAATTCAGATTAAGGAGGAAGTTTGTGGCATTCCCTTCCCTCAAAAGATTTTTTTGAGGTACAGTGTTTTGCTTACGTAAAGCATTGCTTCTTCATAATTCATTTAGTAATCGGCTGTTAGTTCCCTGTTTTATTTTGTTGTTCTTTCCTCATAGTTCATTCTAGGTATTTTTCTTCAACCTGTTCAGAAATGTGATGACACCGCTGTCGAACAGTAGAATATAGAACTCAGTCCTTCTTGTCTGCAGGGACGATTACCAGCATTATTGAAGAAGAGACTTATGGTGCATTGTAGATATGTTAATCAACCTGTTCAGATGTATTATGATCTACCTCTGGTGGATCGAGTGGGACTTGAACCCAGACCTTCTGGCAAAAAGAACCCTAAATGTTCCATTGTGCACTTCCATCCATCCCATCTCCCTTTCAATTCAGGCCAGTAACTTTGTTACTTCCTTCTGTCAGTGCTTCCCACGGCTTTTTTTTCCTGCTGTGATACCATTCTAATACTTCACATTTGTTGCAAGCCCAGATGCAAATTGATGGGAAGAACTTTTGAGCAGTGTGAACAAACTGTAGCAATATAGACTCAAAAGCAATTAAGACAATTACCGTTTTGTAGGTTCTGCTAATGTCAGCAATTGGGCCTCGAGCTCATTGAATTAAGTCACACCCACAGGCAGAAACAGACTGTGCACATTTAAAGGGGCCTTTCAGCCAATCCCAGCACTGTCAAATCTGAGTCTTCACTCTTTGACTGCCATTGTTGCCTTGGAACACATAATCCCAGTTGCTTGGCTCAGTTGCAACCCACAGTTTGGCGATCCATGTTCTACTGTCCCCTGTACTAAACTGATGGTGAATATGACATCCACGTTAAGATGGCATCTGTTACAATTCATCAACATTTCACTGGTAGTTCTGCTGTTTCATCAAATCCTTTCCTGCTCACCCACGCACCTTTGTTTGCAGAGGAAATCTTTCTTTGCAATGAGTTGTTCTTCCCATGAATATGGTAGTTATGTGCAGGAAATATTTAAAATGTTTCTGTTTCGTGTAGCTTGAAAGCAAAATTTTATGGGTGTTTTCATATTGGTGCTGTTTGGTTAGGCTTCCAAAAGACTGGTCTTTCATCAGCTTGGTCCTGGTCTTCAAATCACGAATTCTATCACTACTGTGATAGAATGAGTGAACATGCCTTCAAACAACCATTCTCTCAAAATCCAAATGAGAGGAAAGATGACATCTAAGCAGCTAATGTTCATAGTTTGCCATATGTGGTTCAAGCTGCATTTTGAACTTTTATTTAGTATTTCTCTTAAATTGACTACAATCAGTAACCTTTGTGTAAATCTGTGTGCTTACCAAAGGGCCACTTTATGCATGTTCCCTCAAATTATTGCAGTCATTCCTGTTCATGCAGTTATCTCTAAAGAACAGCATTGCATTGAACCAAGACCAAACAAATTCAGATTGCAATGTTTTGCTATATAATTCCTAGAATACTGTGAGTTAGCATGTTATTTAGGTCTGTACGTACTTCTAATTCTACTTTATAATATTTTCAGATGTCATATACAAAAGATGTGCGAATTTCGAAAGCTGAAAAGGCCTTCAGTACACAAAGGGTTAATCCTCCAACCAAACAAGTGAATATCCTTTTTTTATTTGTTTTTCTAATTGTGTAGGGCATTTAACCTTTGGAGGACAATTGAAAGCATGTTTCAAGGTTATTTTTAGAATATGCAACACTATCATTAGAAAATTACAGCATAAATAATGACAAAACTGCTGCTGTGCATCACAAAATATATTGAAAAGCTGCCAAATAAAAATTTGGTCAAAAGATTGAATCGTTCTTCTCAACTGTATGATGATCCCTTTGTTCCTGTGATATTTGTATCTGGGGAAAAGTTGAAATAAATGTAGCGTAAGACTTGAGTTGTTTCCTCAAAGCAATATATTAGAAACTGTTAAACCATTCACCAGTGCTGTCAAAAAGCTCCTTGAGACTGTCATCTATATTTTATATTAACATTTGGGGAAGTGGGGGGAGCCATTAAGTTAAATTCTGGGAACATGAGGAATTCAAAAACAAACAAACAATCTGAAGATATTTCTAAAAACGCCCTTAACTATTCTTCAAAAAGAAGTGCTCTTTGCATGTGAGGAAAGCAAAGTTGTAGCACTGTACACCAGGGGTGGTGGAGAAAATAGCATCTTAATTTATTTCCCCTTTTACTGTTAATTGACAAGCAAATGAATGGTGGTTCTGTTTGGGCTCTGGATGCTTTGTTGCACAGTTTGTAAAGCTTTCAAGCCCCAATATTAGTGCACAAAACCAACAGCGTCTGCTCCCACAATCAGTTTTTATTATTATCATTTTTTTCTCTGGGGGGTAATTGGAACTTAGCAGCACATTAGTAGTCTGGTAAGTGACATTCGTGTTTTGTTGTTTTGACCTAAGGAAAGCAGGGAGCGTTTTTGCCTTCTCTTATTTGTCTTACTAATCCCTTTGATGTGTCTATTGCTCTAGAATTCTATGTATGGCCATGCACAATGGTTAAAAGGGTTTTTGCTGTTTCTTGACTTGTCAGTTTAAGAATCTGCCGTTTTTAGTAAATTGAGTGGATCTCCTTCATTATCATTTAAATGAGCCCTGTATCCTTCCAAATGCTGAAATTTGAATGTGGTTGTAAAGCTGTGATAATTTGAAATACTCATTCCCTCAAGGGTAACATTTCAGAGGCACTGAATGCCATTGTTACAGGTTCTCATATTTTTTGGGTGAGATGGGAAAATAGACTGGTAATTGTCTGCTGAGCCTCTAGAATTGGTGCTCCAGTTAGTCAAGATATTGGCTCTAATTGTCATGAGGGGGTTGCTGATGAATCATGGTGTATGCGTGCAGCAGCCAGGGCCAAATTGAGTGATATAGCCAGAGCAATGTGCAAATTGGCAATTATTAGCACAGCAGAAAGGCTGGCAGGTGTAGAATGCCTCTGAGCTTTTGATTGAAATAGGAAATAGCAAAATTTCTGTGATGAAGACTAGCTGATTGGGGCTGATGAAGCAAGTAAGGCTCGCTAGCTCAGAAACCTGACTGAAGTGGCAGTAAACCGATTATTCGAATATTTGATTAAATTCTGACTACAGCACTGGCCGATTATTAATTTCATAGCTGAATACTTTTTCTGCTAGCACATGTTTACTAAAGACCCAATGATTAGTACCTATTTTATGATAGAAAATGTTTCTTCAGCAGCTTCTCTGCTGCTTTTGTGTCGTTGACAATAATCTGTGTCAGTTTATCAAACAGATGGTCACTGTTGGCTGATATCCATTGGATTTATGATGGCATGTATACTTTACGCTAGACAGTTATGATAGAAAAGCCAAGATAGTGGAAATAAACAGATGCTGGAATATTTTGTAAATTGCTCCATATTGCCAGCATCAATGTTCACTTCCACAAATTCTGATTGAAAGGTTTCTGTAAATGTTGCCACAGAAAGTATCTGAAAGACCTGTATTTGCAATGCGCTTTTGCGATCTCAGATGTTCTAAAGTTTTTCACAGTTTATTTGCGTTATTCTTTCACCTGAGGTAGACAGTGGCACTGACGCCACCATTTATTGCCCATCTCTAATTGGCCTTGAATAGAAGAGTTGCTAAGTAATTTCAGAGGGCATTGAAGAGTCAATCACATTACAATGGGTGTCATATGTAGGCCAGAATGTTGGTAAGGATAGCAGATTTCCTTTTGGACCTCAGTGAACCAGATGATAGTTGTCTTGATCATCATTATTGAGACACATTCCAGAAATTAATTGAAATTAAGTTCCACCAACTGCCATGTGGGGATTTGAGCCCACTTATCCAGACCATTAGTCTGGACTGCTGAATTCATAGTCCAGTGGTATTGCTACTACAGCATGTCTCCTTTTGGATAATGGAGTACATTTGAAATATAGACACTGTGTAAAGTAGATGATGCAACAACCAATTTGCATACAGCAAACTCCCACAAAAAGAAATATGATCGTGGCAGGTTGAACTATTGTAATGATGTTAATTCAGGGATAACTATTGGCCAGGACACTGGGATAACTTCCCCTGCTCTTCAAGTTAATGCCAATGGGATTTTTTACATCCCAGAGGGAATGCACAATTAAAGTCCTATCTCTAAGAAGGCACCTCTGACAATGTAACACTCCTTCAGTACTTCACCTGAATGTCAGTTCATTTCAGTGGAGTGGAACTTGAATCCACAACCTTCTAACTCAGAGGGAGAGCAGTACCACCTGAGCCACATCTTATTAACTTTATTTACCACCAGTGTTATCCTTTTCTGATTTGAGGATATTGATACTTTCTGAGGTACCATTTCACAGGTGTGAGTACCTCTCTAGCAGTTTAGGAAGTGAGCATTGACCCTGATTGGCATTGCATTTGAACCTAATACTTTTCTTACCCAGAAGTCTCACACTCACTTTGCAGAAATAAATTGCTCTTCATCATATCCACTCCCTGCATTAGTAATATGGAACACAAGTTGGCCCTCCAACACTGTAGTAGCAGCTAACCTGGCACAGATCAGCAGTTGAACTTGGGAACTTCTTGTTTGTGTTGGCCATTAATGTATCACCTGGTACAGTTATACTTTGAGCCACACAGGGTTTTGTTTTAAGGAATGCAAAATTCCTTTCCACTTCAGATATCTTTGTTATATCATTTTACAGGGAGCATTCACGTAGCAAGTTATTATTGCAGGAAAGTAGTTCAAGCAATACTGTTAGAAACTATATGTGATGTATTAAATGAACAAAATATTGCAATATAGAGAGAATTCAGCACATTCAAACCCATGATTCTTCATCAAATAGTATAAAAATGTCAGTATCTCTTTGGTTGAACTCTATATATCTGGGTATGAAGAATGTCATGGAAATTCAGTGCAAAACCTAATGTATGTTCCTCCTCTTTTTTTCCCTCCCACAGAGTTCGGCTCATTCCTTTTCAGGACGAGGATACTCTGTAAGTCATTTCAAATCTTTGAATATTGTACATCAATTCTCTTGGGTATCAGTGCTGTGTTTCAGAGCTAGTGGTGTATATTATAAAGTATACATACACTTATAACCACTTAGACAAGGTAATGAATTGAATAAATAGCCTTTTAGCCTGGGATTTCATTACATGACAAAGGTAATGTTGATTCCTGCTTGGTTTATAAACGTCCTTTAATCATCAAAAGAAAAGAGCTGGATTTAGCCTTACTTGGTACATTTTAAGTGTTCTTCTCAATCCTTTTCCCAGCCTTGCAGATGTTTAAATTTCAGCCATTTGTATGTTGTGAGCCTTTTGTTTTGATGCTTTATTTCACATCCTGGAATCCTGGATTTACAGGGCTATTGCTGATTCAAGGAAACACTGTTTAACAACATAAATGACGCACGTGTTCATGATTTCTGCATCTTGTTTTTGTTCTCTGCACGTGAGAGATTCTGGCAAGGGTACACTTATTGCCCATCCATAGTTATTATAAGAAGATAAAAGTGAGATCTTGCTCTTCCTAGTTTATTTGAGCAACATAATGGTACCGCTGACAATGTAGCACTCGTTCAGTACTTCATGGAGTGTCACTTCGGATTCATATGGTTGGTTCTCTAGGCTGGGACTAGAACCCACAATCATTTGATTCAGAAGGGAGAGAACAGATAGCACATGCAGATTTCTGAAGGGCCATTGAATTGCACCTATTTAAAAAATAAATAAAGAATTGCAGATACTGGAAATCAGAAACAAAATCAGAAATTATTGGAAAACCTCAGCAGACCTGATAGCATCAGTGGAGAGAAAGCAGAGTTAACATTTCAGGTCCAGTGACCCTTCTTCAGAAAACTGCTAATATTTGTTCAGTTGGCTGGACACTTGATTTGTGATTCAGAGTAATGCCAACGGCTTGGGTTCAATTCCCACACCAGCTGAGCTTACCATTAAAGATTTTCCTTCTCAACCTCTCCCCTTGTCTTAGTCTTGGTGACCCTCAAGTTAAACAATCACTAGTCATTTCTGTCTCATGAGAGAGCTGCCCTATGATCTGGCAAGACTATGTTGACTTTACCCTTTTATTATTTATCAGCGGAGATGGCGGCAGGGTAAGGCGCTCCATTCAGAGCTCTGCTCTGCTCGCCAGTTCTCTTTCTCTTTCTTTCTTTGTCCGTCCTTTTTTTTTTCTCCTTTCTTCTCTCTCCCTCTGTAATAATTCTATCACCCCACCACCACCCCTTTAAACCACCCACCTAAGGAGTCGGGAAGAAGCCTGGTCACGGCCAGGAACCACATGGCGGGAGCTGAACGTGCGGGTTGTATCCTGCAGCGATGGCAGATTGAGCGTGGGCCAGAGCCACAGCAACAGATCAAGAGTGGGCTGGTGAGGCAGCTGAGAGCGGGCCAGTGAGGCAGCACAGAATGGGATGCTGGCAGTGGCATAGCATGGGCTGGAAAGCCCGGTGCGGGACTCTGATGGAGGCATGGCGCGGGCTGGAAAGCCCGGAGCGGGACTGCAGCAGTGAAAAGGAAAGTTGGACTCTCTCAAGTTATTTTTTTTTCTTATCATATTCTAAGTTAATGGATATACGGCGAAGGTACACTATTTTTCACTATTTTTACATTGAATACACATGACAATAAATGATTCAATTCAATGTTGAAATGCAGCACCATTCTGATTCTGAGATAACAAGGTGTAGAGCTGGATGAACACAGCAGACCAAGCAGCATCAGAGGAGCAGGAAGGCTGACGTTTCAGGCCTAGACCCTGATTCTTCTTGCTGTCCAGCCAGAAGATTTGTAGGAATGCAGTTTAGAACGGAAGTTATTCCATATCAATAGTTGTTTGAAAAGTTGCTTAATAAATCAAAGTTAGCCTTTTCACATAAAATTGTGCATGATGGTCTGACTGCATTACGGAATGAAGCAAAGATGTGCTACTTATGTATGCAACCTTTTATTTTACCGGTTGAGGTTGTCTAGAGGCAAGCCTGCTGGTGTTTCTGAATTATTTCTGTGATTAGCATTTTACAGTGATTGATAAAATTTGGTGTTCTCATAAAATGATAATGGTGTGCTTCAGTGAATTTTGTTTTTTCATTCTACAAAATGTCAAACAATAACTCCACTGCATCTAGAACCTGTCTATAGTGATTGTTGAATTGCATGTGGCTGAGTTTAAGGTAATATCTCTGGAGTGTGTATATCTTCGTGATTTGGCACAAACTAGGATATTCCAGGAATATAGGATGTATTGTGGTGAGATGCTGATGTAGCAACAACAGTGGATGTGGCACTGCTTGATGAAGTGAGAAACAACTGGATAATCAACAGGTTAAACTTGCACTTCATTCTTCCTTTGCTTGATTTCACCTAAAATTTGCAATTGTTACTCAAATACACAACATTGAATGTTATAGAAATTCAAGTTTTTAAGTAAATATGTTATAGTTCAGTGATGTCTTAATCTTTAAAAATCCAAACACTGCTCCAGCCTCCATTTGAGGAAGGGTCACCGGACCCAAAACGTTAACTCTGTTTTTTCCTTCACAGATGCTGCCAGGCCTGCTGAGCTTTTCCAGCAACTTTGTTTTTGTCCCATTTGGTACACTTTGTTTACGGCTAGATCTTGTAATGTATGGCCAGAAGCATATCTGATGTCCAATTTTTCCATCTGCCCAGATAAAAATAAAGAAAGATTAGAAACTGCTGTAGCCAAAGAAATCTCCACTGTCAGGAAAGTTAGCAACTTGGTTTCTTGGTTCCAGGTGATCATCTACTATTTTTGGTAAATAACGTTTTTCTGTCAATGTTGACATTCTGGTGAATTGGAATTATTTTCCCACAAATTATTTTCATGTTCCTCTGTTTTGTTGCTTCATTTGATAGCAGTTGTGGAACAAATGACATTGGTAATTTAGGCATCAAACGTAATCTCAGTAATACTAAATTTTATGTCTGTGATTTGAATTAATGGGGCTAGATACAAGAAGCGAGCTTTGATTTGGCTTCAAGGGAGATAGCTTCAACCTATATTTTCAAAGCTAAGTTTCATCTTCCATAGATTACCCATCATCTGACTCAGAGTTATGAGTGTGTTTTAGCCTAAAATGTAGAGTTCAGATCAATTTTGTAAACTTCTGTGAGAGTGCTATTTAGTTGTAAACATAGATGATGTGTTTAGTGCTAATCAATGAATAACAGCCAATGAACATCAACAGGTATAATCATAGTCTCACAAAAACAGCAACAGCAAGCTCATTGCTCCCACATTAAAGTACTGGGTCTTGTCTTTTAAAAGTTGCTTACAGAGATCATCACTGGGATTGGTAAATTAAATAAATTTGACAAATGTTGAACCTCAGATTGCTGAATAAAGTGTTTGATGTTGAAAGCTATTAGCCCCCACCCCCAATGTATCATTGAGTGAAAAGTACCAACTTCAATTTTTCCACTGTACTTAACTCCTTTTGTAAACTGCACTGAGCAGGTGAGACATGAAGTCTAAATCCTTTCCTGAAGAAGAGGGCAGATTAGAACATTTAGTTTGCACCAGCGAGTACCATTTTATGTAGCCTGAAGAGTACTAGAATTGGAGGTTTTGGAACAGGTACCATGAGCTTTCTGTCTTAGACATTTTACTGGATGGGATAGGTTGCTGTGGGAACAAGGACATGTAGGAGAGATGAGGGTTGACATTTCCCTTCAATCGTTGCCATTTACTTGAACTGAGGTATTAAGTAATGCGGAATGCTCTGAAGTGGATTTGATTTGAATTCAATATTTCCTAAAATTATATTATGACAGTATAAATAACTTAGCATTGAACATGTGGAATAGATCAACTTTCCTCTTAGTGTGCAAATTAGTAAGTTAGATTTCTGCTTTTGTAACACCTGAGGGCCTTATAAAATTCCTAAGGCCCTGTCTTTGTGAGAAATTACTCCCATTTGATTGCTGTCTGCACATCAGTGTTACCTGCAGTTTATGTCTCGCAAATGCAAGATTTTTTCCCATTGTTCTTGTGTAGTTTGCTGTCAGATACCAAGATGCTTGGTATAAATGCAGAAATAATTTCCACTTAAAAGTTTGTGTGCGTACATTTACAAAATTGGGGAAATGCTTTATCTGAGGTTGATGTGTTCAGGCAAGACAGAACTTATAAATCAAAGTCATATCAAAAGTGATAAAACCTTATCGTCAAGGTGAGGGGGTGCTAGAATGGAAGCTGAGAAGACCTCAGCACAGTGAATTCATGGAAGAAACAGCTATAGAAACATTGAAAGGAATGAGAGATGATAGAAAATCTTAACAAAAGAAAGTTTACTGAACTTTGTAAAATAGTTGCACTCTTTGACTCCCAAGAAAAACCTTGGTAACAATCTGTCTGCTTTTGAGAGCTCTTAGCTGTGATAGGAAACCATGTATGGAAGCTGAAGGCAACAGCTGTTAAGCAAATTCTGGTATTTAGTATTGAATTGGATGTTTGTATTATGTTAATTTTCTGCCTGTGCTAACCTAGACAGTATCAGCCTGGACAGTGACAGGAGCTTAAATATCTGCTCTAGCCTGATGTTTAGCTGGAGGTCTCATCATGTGACCTCCAGCTGTCTCACCATGTCAAACACCATCTTTTTTACTACTCTCTCTGCCAATATTTTAACTAAAAAATAAGTGTTTGAAAAAAATGTCAAAATTCTGTTTCAAATTCGCCTCTGATTTTTCATCCACTTTGTTTGCAGCATCATCCAGGAGTTTACTTTTTAGTTACAGGAGGTTCTAAGATATTGCTGGAAGTTTGGTTATCTTTGTTAAAAACAGCCGCAGCACATTGGGCAAAGGAGTTTGAAAACTTGGCCAGAATGTTTTACCACCAATTCCTGTTCCATGGTGACTACTGGAAAGTGAGAGTGTGTTTTGAAGTAGGAGAGGATCAACTGCCAAATAGCATAAGAAATAGGAGCAGGAGTAGATCATTTGGC